AAGAAAGACGCACACAGTAAATGCACGGGAACAAGAGACGTGCACATGTCCGTTTTCAATCGGCCAGTTAATGATAGAACATCGAACTTTTGAAAGACAGCCATGCTATTTGCCATTGACTAAGATAGTAAGAACATAGATAATCCGCACAGCACACATACAGGAAACTTCCGGATGACATAACTAGGTTCAGACCAGTGGATCCATTTATGTGTGTGCGTGTTCGCATGTATTAGACCAGAAGTGAAATTTACATCTCTCAAACTTGATGTCTAGAGAGATGAACAACTATCGAGGCTGATAAAACATCAAAAATACTCGAGAAAAAATTGTCTAAACAGAGTGCAGCAGGGTTGGGGAATATTGTCCGGTGGTCTGGGTGTTCGGGGAAGGGGCGGGGCGAGGGGAGGGGGTCGGAGGAGTGTGGATCGGTTGAAAGCTATGCCGAAGCCGGGACGATCACAGACAACATTGACAAGAAAGGCGACCTGATCAGTATTGCCCGCACCCCTCCTCCTCTTCTCAGACGTTTGCTGTCGTAGGAACTTTTAGAATCACGTGATATTTGAGAAAATTCTCAGTACCGGTGCGTGTCATGATCATAAATTTAGTGAGACTGAACTACCGCACGGTGAGATGCGAAAGAAACACGAAAGAATGAATTTGGACCGGGGAAAACAAGGTTCTGCACTTGGTGGTGGTTGTTGTTGTGGTGGTGATGAATAGTTTTCCAGAAAGATCTAGTCACGGTGGAATGTTCGCAGAAAATAGTAAACAAAAGCAGTCACCTGAATGTAGACCATGGTGAGGTGTTTGGTTTGGCAAGATAGTTTGTACACATAGTGCTTGCCTACGTGTGTGCAGGATCCTGCTTGGGTTTGGAGGTTCATTGAGAAGTGTGTCAAATTTTAAGAACACGCTTTCACTGTTGAAATTACAGGCATAAAGAAACAAAGCATTTCATCATCAACGAGTGTAAGGAATGAGAACTGTGGCAAGTTAGTGTAAGGTGGGTAAACAGAAGCATTAAATAGTACCATCAACATACGTGCTGGGCCCTGAGTATATTTCAACATTTCATATTTTTTTCAGTAAATAGTGGTCCACTATTACCAGACACTGATTCGTGGTAATGGGGCTGACCTGGGTCGCCGTAAAGCATGACGGCCAAGCATTCGTCGGACTGAAGTTAACTGATCCGGATTTCCTGGTGGATCGAGGTCCCAGTTTCGATCAATACGTCGTTCAATTGGGATATGTTGCCGTTCTGAGGCTCTTCCACGTCTCAGCTGACGTGAGTAGATCGATAAAGGTAGCGGATCTAGCTCAACCTCGTCCAGTTGAGCAGCAAGTGCTTCTATTGGATTTAAACGTCGTTGATGTTCGGGAACAAGAGAAGTGGTGTTTGATGTGCGTCTCAAGAAAGTGAGAGATTGGTTGTTCTCCGACATGTTTTGAACATTTGTATTTAGGCTGGGCGAGTGGTTTAAATTCACTTCATTGTAGCCAGATACCAGGGCTCGAGTTGTAATGTTATGATCAACCCACTGACCTTGTGCCAAGCGAATCAGTTCTTTAGGCATGTGACTTGATTTCAAATGATCTTGACCTATATATTGTACAAATGAGGCCAGCTGAGTTGGCAATCCAATTGAGGCTAATTTACGACAAAAGTCCACACCACCAATCTGCTTTCTCACAGTATTTCGGGCAAGAATTTTCAGACTTAGTGGCTCTGCAATCACACTTTGACAGATTCGATGCAGGTGAGATAAACGTGCATTGAACTCATCACGTCGTTCTCCATAACGCTTGGAGTAAACTTTGCGCAGATGCAGATTTTCCAAAGACTCACCAAAATCGTCCACCGTGGGAAAAGTACATCGCAGTGCCAACAAGTTTATCAACAACAATGCGGCCTGGCGAATGATGGAAGGGAGTACGTTATGTCCATATGTATCGATTTTTGGATGACAGACTAAACACAACAAAATTCCAAACCAATTGCAACAGGGATATAAGTAGTCCATACATTCAAATTGAGAAAAACCATGTTCAATCAGTCTTTTGACCGCCGTCATTTCCACAAATGCATCGTCATTTTCGGGAATGTCAGGAACTGTGGCATGTTCATTTGTGTATCGACACAGGTACTGATCGTAGCTGGTAGCTAAAGAATTAAAAATGATAACTGAATCAATGCGATGCACGTCAACTCCTTTGGCAAGAATGGCGGGCAAGTGGGAAAAATAAAACGCCAGAGGACTGGGGCCGCTCAATCCGTTATACGATGGTGGCTGTTCGCCCACAAATTCATACACACTCGCAAAGAAATAATCCAAAGCCGACTGATAAGTGTACCGTCCGCGGGTCCAGAAGCGTCGATAGGGAGCAGTATTTGGACGGGAATTTGGAGCACATATATAAGTCCATCGCCAACACGTTTGTGGTCTGTTGATATCTAAACCGTACCGGGACAGAAGAGGTAAAATTTGCCACTGAAGACAATCCACAGCCCAAATGACTGGAGAACATTCCTGATAGAAATTGATAAATGGGTCGGTACCGGTAGCACGATGATCAACGAGGCAAGGGTAGGCTGTGCTAAGGTGTCGACGTTTCACCACCAGATTCACTTCGGTTAGCGGACGCTTGAGACGCCGCAGAGCGCGTTCTACAGAGACCAGATTGCCCTTCTGTATCAAACGTGCAAGCTTCTCATCCGCCTCTTCGAGAACTGCCGCCCGTGAATCAGCACAGAAACAGGTGATCCACAGAAGATTACGTCGGTTTCTTTTATTGCTCATTTGATCACCGATAAACAGATTGACTGTGACTATTAGTCATTGTTTGGAGTCAGCCAGCACAGAATTAATGAGAGAGAATTATCCTGATAAATGTGGAATAAAAAAATCGTTCCCAATTGATGGAAAGCGTCGAATCGTACGAACACTCTTTCCTCGTCCCTAATCGGACTGCCCTGTGCTAGCAATGCAAACCGAACCGCTCGTTCGTTCGCATGTGTTAGTTGTGGCCAGCCAATTGTTGGCGGTAGACGCGCAAGGTCAGTTTAACCGATCGACCAATCGGGTGACAGAACACCTACCAGTCCACCCCCTGACATGCCTGTACAACGCAGTGGACCAGACAGACATTTACCGTGGAAACGCCAGCGGACCCGTGTTCGACCGAATTCACTCCCCTGATATCGACCGATTGGAGAAGCAGACAGACGCGTTAGTTATATGCGCTAACGATCTTTGGTGTCAGTTGGTTAAGAATCACCTAGTGTGTATTGCTCCGTCGGGAGAAGCCTTTAGAGCACGTAATGTTTATGCCGCTCAGACAATAGAGACCGATACCCACACGCGATGATCGATTAGAGCAGCCTACGAAAAATCGAATAACAAAAAAAATGCATTTTTGAGATGATCGCATCCTGAGCATCCTGAATATTATCATAAAAATGTGACCAAAATTTTATTTTTATAATGATGCTGGCTTTAGCAACTAACAGTGTGGAGATATTTGCTTAGAATAATCAACAAACTATTTGATGTCAACTGCAAATGAACATATCGCCCGTGAGGAATGTTAGCTTCATTTGACCTAACGTATCGGATCTAGGGAGTAAAAACACGATGATGCTATGGTTTGGTAGTTAGCGTATTAACATCAAAAATAATAAAAATATCTACCCGAGAATAAACCAAACTCGCTGTAATGGAGAAAATACCATATAAAAGGGAACACATTGACTGCATCTTTGAAGTCATGGTGTTTCCGATACGTTTGAATTCAATAAATTTTTGAATGTCTTTCTGACAAACAGAAATTTCTCCTTGATTTTGGTCTTAGTCTTAATCCAACCGAATGAGTTGACTGCATTTTCAGTTTCTCGAAGTTTCGAACTCCACGAAGACTGATTCTGACCCACTGCTCAGTGTGACCTCGGTTAAATAGAATTTGGAACACCATTTGGGACATGGTTCCCTTCGCCTCATTGATCCCCATTCTCTTCCGTCACAGAGATCCTTATCGATTATTCATTTATATTCGTGAACAAGCACTAAAATGGAGAAAAATGCAAGCGTACACAGAGAAAAATTGTCCGTTAGAGAAACTGTACTCATCACTCTGAAATCAAATACTCTACAGCACCCTGTTCCATACATTCTGGAGATACCTTCATCGAGAACGGAGTTCTTGTAAGAAAATTGTCAAAAATCCACTTTCAGTCCAACGCACCATCATCTGAGACGTACGAGTTGCGAAGGGTTTAACTTAAAATATATTGTTATCCATCGACGTTCAGAACATGGAAATAGAGAAAAACCATTTGTCTGTTTCTTTACTCAAAGCAAACAAGACCAACTGATTTCGGGGTAATTTCCCCCAAAAAGCAGCTTCTGGTCACACACAAAAATCTCACGATAACTATTGTGATAATCTGTACTTGGTATCGGAAATCGAATCACAATAAATCCACGCAGTTAAGCTCCAACCGAACTAGCACGCAGTATGAAATAGAACACCAGAATATTCGAAGTCGAATTATATTACTAGCCGAAATTGTGCAAAGCAATCAATCGTATAATAAAACAAGAATGTTCAGTTTATACACAATCACCACATCTACCGCAGCTTGAATGATGCTAGGGGTTGTTGTAATCAAGTCCCTCTTTGCAACGCAAACGTTCGGATCTTCGAAGATTTTTTACGGAAATCTCGGAAGGTTCATTTCAGTGGATTTCATCTGAAATAGACTGAGAAAGAGAAGGATTAGAATATTCAGAATTGGGGGTATTGCAAATTATTTGGTCACTATGTTTGCGATGAACTGTCCCATCGTCTAGGTTCAGGAGTCGATGCATTCTTTGACCCATCTGGTTCAATACCAATCCTCTTGAAGGACGTGGCTTATTTCCACTATGATCAATCACTTCAGCTGATTACAGATTAAGAAGATTGGTACTAAGTGTACGATGTTTGAATAATTTGGCCGGCCTGCTCCCCGTAGCAGCATGAGTTTGGTTCCTGTATTGCATGAGGAAATTATCGACACTCCTGTCGAAATCAGTGAAAGTAGATATGTGGCAGGATGCAATTGCGTTTTTCTGTGTCCGGACGAGCTATGAGATCTGTAGGAAGGTCGTAACCTCTGGTTTCAGAGAACTTACCTCAATCGCTTCCGCTCTTTTATTCACAGATCAGGAAAGGACTGAATTCAGATGAATGGTTTATCGAATGAGCCGTTAGCTAAAAGCAAATAAACTGACAACGTCTTTTTCTGATGTATATGTATAAAAGGTCGCTTTTTTCTTCTTGTATTTCAAAGTTTACTTATATACCAACAAAAAAGTAATGCAGCCTCAAGATATCTTGGCCACTTCCGAGTTTAACCTCTATATCCGAAATAATATCAAGGGATTCCAGCATTGTACAGCTGAAAAAGTTAAGTTCAGTACAGTTCTTACAACCATTAACCATGCACTTTCGTGCGCCGGTTTTGGTTGCCCATTTGGATAAATCAGCGGCTGAAAAAGCCCATTCACCATACAACTAAATGATAATAATCAAAATTTCAACCGCTACACTCAGTATTCTTGAAAATGTTTCGGTTGATTTTACTGTCTGCATGCGGGTGACTCAGCTAGCACAAACCACTTGCGTTCTCTGGTAGATAGAATCGGACCTCGTAGACGATTATTGTTCAGTGTGGATTTCTAGTCTTTTTTTTAAATTTTCCTTTGAGTCTTAAGGTAAAATTTCAATTTTTAAAACGCAAACTACTCGATAGCATGCGTGTATGCGTTCGCGCATGCGTCCACCTTTGGTTCCGCCTATAGACTAAATTAAAAAAGGCCTGTGAGCTACACATTAATGCGTGAGAAATATTTGTGCACAAAATGATTTCGGATCTCACAATCTTTGTACCCTAACTTAAAGTTCGTTCACTCTCATCTATCCATAGGAACACACTTGTAACACATAAAAGAATGCAGAAATGCGTTTAACTGTTTAAAAGCTCCCTATTTAGCAAAACATTTGACTAACAGACAGCTAAATTAGGCTGTTTTTAAACTTTAAATTTACAACTGAATTTGATCTTCTTCATCAACCTGTGTGAAACTTGGTGTTTTTTGGCTGAACTGTAGACTTAGGTTCGAAATATTCACAAGAATATTCAGTGTTCAATGCACAGCTGCTTCAAACATTTACACATCAGTAATGTTTTACCAGAGCGGTTTATCAGAGAGAGGTGTTCGATTACTGGACCGCTGATGGAACGAACCTGTTCTGCGCCCCTGCGACAACGGCAATTATTGGGCTAGACACGTCACAGTTTTGGGACAACCAATCGGAGGTCAACAGTTAAAATACATGCGCTTCAGACAGCAGTCCCGTTACGAGAAGAACGTGCACAGAAATACCTGAATACCTGTTAAAGCAAGGATATTTCTATTCACCCGATAGCTGATCCCATTAAATTCTTGGTATTCGGAACACAAGGCGTCAAACCGGATTTTGTGAAATAAAGCTTATTGTCGTCGTTTCAGTGATAAGAGCGTCTCGATTAGCGACAGATTGAAAGGATCTGATGGCCAAGTACGTTTGAGGATATCACCTCTGGTATGAGAGAAGTGTAATTATAATTTCCAAACTCATTCATTCTTAAGGTTTGTCACAATGGACTTACTTGTTTCCTGTTGCTTCGCCGGGCCTCTTGACTGAAGATTGTATGTTAGCAAGATGCTCTTTTGAAAATCTTTTCAGTGCTGCGTATGCAGCATTTATTATCTTCCTTATCAGTCAAGATATCTTAACTTGCACCCGTTTGAGCGACTGAAAAATGGTGGCGGATGCTGAACATCCTCTAAGTTGGACAATCTCCCATCCTGCATTCCCCTCCGTTACCCTTTACTGGTTTGTAAGTTTTTATCACGGCTTTTCACAACTGTTACAAACCTGATTCTTGGGTCACGTGAGCTGGAATGAAAATCTCACGTGGAGTTGGACTGAAAATCTTACTGTTTTTAAGATAACATTTCGCCTTTCGCATTGCTACTGTACACAATTGTGCATCAACATATACATGTTTTATACCTCCATTAATGTCACAGTTAACTTCATAACAAGGATCACTGAGAATTTGGCAATCACGGAAGAAAAAGCTCATTATTGACTTGAGTTGGCTTGTTTCTACATTATCCGCAAATTACTGACCAACAATTGATGCCTCCGAGAAACAGAACTAGGCATTCCATGTTTTGGATAGCTTAGTGACCAAACACGAACTATTATCTGAGAATAATCGGTAATAAAACAGATCATGGGTAGATTATCATGCGGCTTTTGAACGCCAGAGCTGATGAATGTATCTTAGCTAGTTGATGGGGGAGTTCTTTCACTAGGAATATAATAGCACGACCAATAAGTTGTTCACTAGTCTTCACGTTCTATCCCACATACAACAGCTTTCTGACCAATCTGGTCTCAGTCTCAACATATATTTCCAACGAACTCTGCTACCCTTAAGGGTAAACCTGTATCCAGAAAGAACCTAGTCAAGTACCTGGGTGTCACCATCGACAGCAATCTTCATTGGTCTACATTTATGTACAACTGTATGGAAAGATTGAGACGCCTGTCTTTTCAGTTACGCAAATTCAGGCAAGTTTCGAACCCCACAGTCAGTCCTGTCATCCTTCGTTCATCAATGCGTTTTACCCATTCTGCTCTATTGTTCCCCTATAGTGTTTCTCGGTCTTTTAAAACAAGACTTCAAAACAATTCGCCGTGGTTT